TCTCTTGTTATGTGATGCCGTATGCCACCCTGGAACTCTTAGTCAGAAGGCCATCACCAGATGCAGTCCCTTGTCCTTGAACTTCTAGAATGATGAACCAAAATAAAATCTCTTTTCTTGATAAAATTACAAAGCCTCAGGCAATTCATTATAGTAATGCAAAATGGACTAATACAGACACCAAGATAATAAAAATAGGTCCAGACAGATAATATTGAATGTTAAATGATTGGGTTCAGATCTTTGGATCAATTTTTGTGAAAGATATAAGGTTTTTTTGTATGTGAATCTTTCACCTATTCCAGAACTATTCAAGATTATATTTTCTCCATTATATTGTTTTTGCTCCTTGGCCAAAAATCATAAGACTATACTTATGTGGATCTGTGTCTGGGTTCCTTGTTTTACTTTTTTGATTTATTTCTCTGTTCTATTTTGCCAATATGCCACATTGTCTTAATTACTATAACTTCATGGTAAGTCTTAAAGTTATTATCAGACTTCTGACTTTGTTCATTAATGTGTTGACTACCTTGGGTCATTTGTCCCTCCATAAGTACTTTAGAATTAGTTTGTTCATACCCACAACCATTCTGGTAGTTTGTCAGTGCTATAAATATATGTATACAGTGGGGAAAACATGATATTATTGATTCTATCCAGAAGTGTGAAAATCTTTTCATTTATTTAGTTATTTGATTTCATTCATGAGTTTTGCAGTTTTCCTTACATTGATCTTATTTATATTATGGTCAATATATACCTTAATTTATTTTGGGAGTACTAGAGTAAATGACATTGTATTTTTAATTACAAATTCCACTTGTTTATTGTTGGTATGTAGGAAAGCAATTGAGTTTTGTGTATTAACCTTGTATTCTACAATCATTCTATAATCATTTATTAATTCCTATAATATTTTTTCTTGACTCTTTCAGATTTTCTACATATATGATTATGTCATCTTTAAACAAATATAGTTTTTTCTTTCTTCTTTTCTATTCTGTATATATTTTATTTCCTTTTCCATTCCATTAGCAAAACTTAATAAGTTTTTTGAAAGTAGTAGGGAAATGGGATATCCTTTTCTTGTTCCCCATCTTAGTTAGAAAACTTCAGTTTCTCACCATTGAATATGATATTATCATTAGAGTTCTGATAACATGAGGAAGTTCTCCATTATTTCTCATTTACTGAAAGTTTTTTTTTTTATCATAAATGGATGTTGAGTTTGTAAAATGTTTTTTCACATCTGTTGATAGGATTATGTGATTTTTTTACTATTGTTTTATTCTGCTGGTGTAATGGATTTCATAACTTGATTTTCAGATGTTTAACTAGCCATCCATACCAGGGATAAATCTACTTGGTCGTAGTATATACCTACATATTTTTAAGTTCCATTTGCTAATATTTTGTTGAAGATTTTTACATGTGTTCATGAGAGATATTAGTGTTTAGTTTTCTTTATTTGTAATTGCTTTCACTTTGCTAGTAGGGTAATACTGGCCTCATTAAAATGGGTTTTTGAAAATATTTTTTGCTTCTGTCCTATAAAAGAGACTATAGAGAATAGGTATAATTTGTTTCTTAGGTGTTTAGTTAAATTACCAGTGAATCTGTCTGGACCTGGTGAATTCTCTTTTGTAAGGTTTAACTATTGAACTTAACCAAATTTTAAAGAGTTATTATCATAACAACTGCAGTCTTTAACCTCAATACAATCAAATTAGTAAACAACAAAAAGTAGTGAAAATATATGTGTTCACACAAGAGTGATTCCTTAATAGCAATAAAAATCATGAAATATGGAAAACTAAATGACAAATAAAGTGTAATTTCTCAAATTTTTTGGATGTGCAATATTGGTATTTAAATCCTATTTTTAAAAAAGATGTAATTATAAGTAAATCAAGTGTTCAAATCAAGAAGCTAGAATTAAATAAGCTATTTAGCAAACATTTAAAAATAAGAAGGAAGAAAAGGTAAAGTAAGACAAAAATCTAAGAAAATGAAAAGTCAAACACTAAAGGCACAAACAAAAATTTGGCACTTTGATAAGACCCCCTTAGATGCCAAACATCTGGTAAGGTCTGTCAAGAATAAAACAACAACCAATAAGAAACTATTCTGCCCCAAAATAAATTCATCATACTTATGGCATACAAATAGCATCATCAAATTCATAATATAAACACATTTGATAAGCACAAGACTAATAATGGCTTTGCTTCAGAATTATGGAAAAAAAGATGAGTCTATTAGAAAAATTGTAAAGCACATAGACAATCAACCCAAAAGGGAAAAACTTACAAATACACACTTGTCTACTATAAAATGCAGAACACCATTTATCAAAATACACTACACTGCCACAAAAACAAAGTATAAAGACAGTTGACTGATTAGAGAAGGTATTTAATGTCCATAATAAAGAAGATTAGCGTTTAGAATATATCAAGAACTTGAATCATCAAATAAAAGACAAAACTTACCATTACCAAATGGTAAATAATTCATAGAAGTGAGAATCTGAATGAATAGGCAATGAAATATGAGACAATAATTTCTTTCAGTAATCAAAAAATGGAAATTAAAACAATATGTGAAATAATTTTATATACATACATATGTATGTATATATATTTGTATGTATATGTATCAGATTGCCAAAACATTTGACATCTGGTATATCTCAGAGATAGAGTACTTGTCTAACATGAATGAAGCCACAAGTTTAAACCACAACAACACAAAAATTAATAAATAAAGCATTTAACAACACTAAATTATTTTTGCAATATATGAAATGGGAATTATAATTCCCTGATGTTGGAAGTATAAATTAGTAATGCTGCTTTAGGGGAAAATTTGGCAATATCTAATAGAATTGAAAGATACACATGTGTGTACACACGCATATATAAAAATATTTATTCTCCTCTCTCATAGTAATTCTATTCTAAAGCATATTCACCATAGTACAAAAAATACCAATGGTAAATAAGAAATCAGAACCAACCCAATCCCCAACTGTCCATCTCTTGGAGAATACATCCATATAATGGAATGCAATTCAATGGTAAAATATCAACCAGAGCCACAGTAATAAATTTGCATAACTCATTAACAATGTGAATTGAAAAAATACTTAAAATTGTATCATTTGTGCAAAATTTTAACATTCACAAACAATACTAAATACTGTTTTATAGACATAGATTTGTAGTAAAATTACAAAATCAAAGTTGAAAAGTATTACACTAACTTCAGAAGAATGATTATCCATATGGAAAAGAGTAGAGCATATTGATTAGTGGTAGATATGTTATGAAATTCTGTTGCATTGGTGGTATTTAATTTCTTAAGGAAAAGTTAGTGAGGGCTAGGGATGCAGCTCAGAACTCTTGCCTAGCATGAATGAGACCCTAGATTCAATTTTAGTACTTAAAAAAAAAAGGCTTATGTAGCAAAATGTTAATTTTTATAAAATGTTATGTTACTTCAAAGTATTTCATTTATTTATTTATTTTATATATTGAATTGAAATGTAATTGGACATAGTCAGGAGTTCATTTATGTGTTCACCCAGCCTACCACAAGAATTAGGTTGCTATGAAGGAAGCTAACTTAAATAATGTACCCACTGCTACCAGTCTGAGTTGTTTTGTTTTGAATATGATCTAACATAATACACAATAGCAGAAGAAGCCATAAGTCCTACATTTCTCCTTGGTACTATGAAATTTTGGCTGTAAGAAATGTCATGTTGCTGGGTGTGATGGTGCATTCCTGAAATTCCAACTACTCAGGAGGTTGAGGCATGAGGAGCACACTTTCAAGTTCAGCCTGGAAAATTTAGTGACACTCCATCTCAAAATAAACAAGGACTAGTTCAAAGGTATAGCACCCCAGATTCAATCCCCAGTACTAAAAGAGAAAGGAAAAAAGGTCATGTTACTCAAGAAAGGCATCCAACTGAAAAAAGAAAACTATTAATCAGTTTGTATAATTAAGAATCTGAATGTTTTAATCAATTATAAATAAAAATAACTTACTTAAATGGAGTTAAATCCATAAATGTACATATAGAAATAAATATCTAAAATGAATTCTTTAATTATGTAGTTGATTTGTGGTATGAGTTTTTCCCTCCTTCTCATTATTGCTCCATCACCTACATACTCTACTGTTATATTAGTTGAATCTGTTTATTGTAGCCTAAGAAAATGCTCTTGACACAATAGTGATTTTAGAGTTGTTTTCCCTTTTTCTTGGAAAACACATTGTTGCACAAGTGGTCATAAAAACAAAATGTCAGTTTATTTAATAATACGATTATTTGTGCTCATGTGATACTATTAAGCAAATTAATTATATAGATAGAACATTCTACCACTGTTCTGTTTTCTGCTTTCATTCATGGCTATTGAGCCCAGGGGTGCTCTACCACTGAGCTACATCCCCAATTCTTTTTATTTTTATTTTGAGACAGCATTTCCCCAAGTTGTCCAGGCTGGTCTCGAACTTAAAATCCTCCGGCATCAGCCTCATAACTTGCTACAGTTACAGGCATAAAGTGCAAAGTTTCAAGTTTAAATTAAATAAGGATAAATCAGAAAATTCTTATGGTTGTTCATGAGTAAACTAAACTGCAATGATTAAAATACCAAGGATTTAAATTTCACATCTTTAAAATTATACTTTTTCCAATTCTAACTATAATTTCTCAAAAAAGAGAAAGGAATAAAAATAATGCATCTAATTATTGATGCAGTGCTATTGAAATGAACTGAAACTTATTTTTAAGAGCAAGAAAATCAGCACAAAAAGAAGAATAGGAAAGTAAATACTAGCAAAGTACATTTTACTTTAAGACAAAAGCAACTTAAAATATATTCACACTGCTTTCCTAGGTAAGAGGGGCAAAAGGAAGGTGAATATGTCTTTAAGCTTTTATCTACAGTTATCTAGAAAAACTTTTAAATCTTTCTTGGCAGGTTTAGATCCAGATAAACATCTTGGGAAAACGCTGGATGAGATGGAGCCTTATCTCTTAGAGGTAAGAATATGCTACTTTTCAAAATATAGAAGCATAAAGGAAGAAAAAAGAAGTGCTATGCTTATGACTATAAAAATGATTTTTATTTTAGAAATATTTATTGCATGTCTTATGAAATTATACTTCTAATGAATATAAAAAACGTTTAAAATTATGAAAATCATCTTTGCTTCAAACAAAAAAAAACTAGGAGTGTTATCTATATTCTTTGTCAGTACTTCCTGGTCTCAGATGTCTCATGTCTGAATTCTTTCACCTCTAAATGGATACAGCTCTAAGATGATAATGATCCTGTTTTATTAAACTCAGTAGACATTAATTTTTATTTGCCAGTTACAAGCACTCCTTGAAATGTTTCTATTCACCAAAATGATGCCGCACTTCTCTAGTTTTCCTTCTTTTTTTCTGGTCTTTCTTCATCTCTTTTGGCAGTTTTTCATAGTAGATATTCCATTTTCACTCTATAAGCTTTTTCTGGGTGATCACAGTTACTCACACGACTTTAATTATTAAGTCTATTTTGATTATTCTTAAATCTTTCTAGCTCATATTTCTCTTCTATGCTCCAATGCCTACAGAGACCACAAATTACATCCCTACATACTTGATTTGGCTTTTATATCATTGTTCTTTACCATTCCCTTTGTCTTCATCTTAATATGGATGCCTGTCACTTCGGACCTAAACTGACACCTCCAAATTTTCCTCTGCATTCTATTTTATTTCCCAAATTTTGCCTCATGCCTCAAAACTAAATGAATGCCATTGTCTGCAGGCTAAATCAAAATTCTTTGGAGTCTTTCTTTCTCCCCTCCTATATGTGACACATGAACATGATCTTGTCTGCTCTGTCTCCAGATTATATTCTAAATTCAAGCATACCTTACTTTCTATACTGCTACCTCTACACCATAAGCATCTCTTGTCTGGCATATTACATCAGCCCCTAACAGGTCTACTTATTTCCACCATTGGCCTCTGTAATTCATTATTCATACAGATGCCAGAGTGACATTTTTAAAGTGTAAATCAAATTATACGACTGCTTTGTTTAAAATTTAAATGGGTTCTCTTTGAAGCTAGAGTAACAACTAAACTCCTATGAGATCACAACCTGTGAGACCCTGTATCATCAGCATCCTATCAGTCTTTTCAGGCTTACCTTTTACTAGTTTCCATATTGTTCACTGAGCCATTGCCACATATACCTCTTTATTATTTCATCACATTTACTACCTTTTTTTTCCTCCTTGAACTTTACCCTTCCTGGCATGTTTTCCTCAGACCATCACAAGGTTAGTATCTTTTTATAATTTGACAGCTCGAATATAGCCACCTCAGAGAACCTCTTCCTAGCTGGCCAAGCTAGAGCAGTCTTTCCACATTATCTTATGTATCTTTATTGCCATCCATTGCCACGCTAGAACATAAGTTCTAATAATCTTGCCAAGATTTTGGTAGGCATTAGTTCTTTAGTTCTTCATTCAGGTACTTGTTCATCTTTTCATCTATTTATTCATCCCATATTTAAATTATTTAACATTTATTGAGGGTCTGTTAGGTGACAAATGCTGCAGACAGCACTAAGTATACATGATGAATTAATCAATCATGATCCTTATTCTTGAAGCATTTACAATCTATTCTAGTTGTTTTCAGATCTAAAACTATAGTTCACTGGTGACATTATTAAAAATCATATACTCATTTAACCTCAAGAAATTTCAGTTCAGAAGGACAAAAGATGATGACCTTTACTCAAGCACTAGGTAATTCTGACACAGGGATTAAGTACAGTATATCATCTTCTAGTTTCTTAATACCACTGACACATTTAAGACCCTGTATTTCTAGATTCCTCTAAAAGAATATGTGCCCTCTTGAAACTATGGTCTGTTTCCTTCTATGATACTACTCACTTCTGAAGACTTTCTGAGTACTTATTTTCTTGTGGAGGCTTTTCATATAGAATCTATTTCTTATATGTATGGTTGCATCCCTAGCCTTCTTTCTGTGATGATCTTAAATATCTCAATGAATTCAACTGCCAACTTGAATCTTAGAACAATTAAATTTATGTTCCTCATCTATTTCCAGACCTGATTTTCTGACCAGTTTTAAATTCACCTTCATCTCTTAAATGTCCCAAATACTGAACTTCAACAACATAGAAATGAGTTCTACTTATCCTAATTTATCAGTGCCATTTTCTGGCAGTGAAGAGCTCCATTATCTACACAGTTGTCAAAGTCAAAAAAAGTAAATAGTAATAAATGATTTCATATGCTCCTTTATTGATAAATAAAGCCCTAAATCTTTTAATTCTGCCTTCTAAATATCTCATTATCTGCCCCCTTTTATACTCAATTGTTAACCACAGTAGAGTCCCCTCTAGGTTATTGCAGCTAGATTCTAGCTTAAGTTTTTCTCCTATTTGTCTTTTCCTTTGTTGATTCATTATCCACAGTTCCACAACCACAATGTACAGGAAGTGCAAAGGTGATCTTATCACACTTTACTTATAAATTTTTGAGTTGCTTCTCATTGTCTCAAAATAAAACGTTTAAACACCTTCCCTTGACTCATGTATCCTTGAGGAAAATCAGGCTTGTAAGATGACAATCTACTACGTATATCCTATGTTTCATCAATTTTGAACTACTGATGATTCTACTCCCCTTCTCTGAGCATTATCCCTCCTTTAGCTAAATTCAGGATATCTTTAAAGTTTAAATTCATAATTCACTACTGTGAGACTTTTTTGCTTAAAAAACAACAACAAAAAATCCTTCTTGGAGTAGCAGTTTGCTCTTTATTGTTTATAATATTTCTCATGGTATATCTTATTTTCTTCATAGTGTTTATTGTAAAATTAACATTTGTATTATATGAATAATAAACTCAAGACAAAAAAAATAATAAAGAATCTTCCAGTGATTCCAAGCACTCATGTTTTGTGTTTTTCCCAGAGTTACCTCTCTTTTCTATTCTAATGTGTTTCTTCAGAAACATTTTGGCATATGCAAATATATATGCATGTGTTTATCCATTTTTACCTAAATTGGTGCATACTATACATATTTTTTTCATCTTGCATTTTACCATGTACAAATCCATGGCATTTGTTTATAGTCATTGTGTTCAATTACATGGATATTCTATAATCAAACCTATTTCTTATTAGTGGACGTTACTCTTTATTGAGTTTAAATGTCTTTTGCTATTACAAATAATGCTGGAGTGAACATTATTGTACATATGTTTGGGGTCCGTGTTGTATTTTTCTGTAGGATAAAATAGTAGAAGTGGAAATTCTGGGTCTGAGGGTATATATGTTTTAAATTTTAATAAATATTGAAGATATTTATTTCCAGCTATGGTGGAATTACTTATATCAGACTACCTTTCCCACAAACAACTATAAAAGTTATATGAAAAATAACATTAGAAGGCATTAGAGAATTGCCATAACTGTAATAATTTGAAGGGCCAGATTTTCAAAGAAAGCAAAAGCTCAAACATCACCTATTTCCCCTTCAAAGTAATTTCTGATTCAGAAATAGTACAGAGACGTTAAGAAGCTGAGGGGGAAACTCCAGCTGAGAAGATGAATAGGCATTCAGTTTCATAGGGAAAGGGAGACAAAAGTTAGCATTCAGAGCATCAGAAGTAATGGTAATCCTTCCCTTGATTTTTTTTAGTTGAAACTACTGAATGGGCTATATGTTAGGAGTAGAGATAAATCCAAAATAGTCTAGCCTTTGTAAGCATTCGTATCTATCTTTAAAGTCATGTCAATTCTAGACTGATTTAAGTGATTGGGTTCTACTTTTATTACCTGTTTCTTTCTGGGGAAAGATAATATAATTCAGAACTTCAAATTACCTCTAAAATACTTTGCTTACAATTTTTAATAGGCAATCAAAACTGCCTAGTGTATCAGGAGACCTGATAAATTATCTGAAACTCAAGAGAAAAATAGACAATAGAAACATCCCAGAGGATATCCATGTAATGGAATTATCAGATTTACACTCCAAAATGGTTAAGGCTAATATGCTCAGTAAAATAGATGAGAAGATGTAGTATTTTAGACGAGAGTTAGCATCTATAAAATAAACAGATGGAATTGTCGATCTTAAAAATAACAGTATCATGATTGCATTTTCTATTTCAGCAAGGAATGTCATTGGGATTTTGATGGGAATTGTATTGAATCTGTAAAGTGCTTTTGGTAATATGGCCATCTTAATAATATTAATTCTACCAATCCATGAGCAAGGTAAATCCTTCCATCTTCTAAGGTCTTCTTCTATTTCTTTCTTCAGGGTTCTGTAGTTTTCATTGTATAGATCTTTCACCTCTTTTGTTAGGTTGATTCCCAGGTATTTTATTTATTTATTTTTTTTTTTTGAGGATATTGTGAATGGAGTAGTTGTCCTCATTTCCATTTCAGAGAATTTGTCACTGATATACAGGAATGCCTTTGATTTATTAGTATTGATTTTATACCCTGCCACTTTGCTGAATTCATTTACTAGTTCTAGAAGTTTCTTGTTGAACTTTTTGGGTCTGCTAGGCATAGGATCATGTCATCAGCAAATAGTGCTAATTTAAGTTCTTCTTTTCCTATATTTATGCCTTTAATTTTTTTCATCTGTCTAATTGCTCTAGCTAGTGTTTCAAGAACTATGTTGAATAGAAATGGTGAGAGAGGGCATCCCTGTCTTGTTCCAGATTTTAAAGGGAATGCCTTCAATTTTTCTCCATTTAGAATGATGCTGGCCTGAGGCTTAGTGTATATAGCTTTTACCATGTTGAGGTAATTTCCTGTTATCCCTAATTTTTCTAGTGTTTTGAACCTAAATCGATGCTGTATTTTGTCGAATGCTTTTTCAGCATCTATGGAGATGATCATATAGTTCTTATCTTTAAGTCTATTGATGTGGTGAATTACATTTATTGATTTCCATATATTGAACCAGCCTTGCATCCTGGGG